AGTGGTTAATATCATTAATGGTATTTGAGAGAACAAAATTTATTGACTAGATGTGCAGAAATGTCTGAGCTTCAGTATCAGCTGTGAGCATGGCCCCACCTTCCCATTCCCATCTGTAACCTGTCGCATGGTGCCCCATGGTGGCTGCTTGCCTCCTCTTACATTTGCTCAAGCCAGCAAGTGCTCCATTCAGTTTGGTTACTAGTAAACAAAAATATTTACTCCAGTTCATCATTATTTGCTAATAGTCAAGTGTATGACTGCATTTTGCAACTTTTCTGGTTTGTTTCTGTTTCTAGTTCCATTTAAAGAGGAAATACAGGTTGCTCTAGGTGGTTACTTTGAGTTGATTTTATAGTGCTTTGCAAGACAGAATTAATTTTAAAATCTAGCTGTTACAATGTTTCTTTCATTAGATTATTTTCATTATTAAAAGGAAATATTTTAACTTCAGCTGTTTTCATCAGCAATTAGTATGTGTGATTTTTTTTTGTACACCTTTCCAGGCTGTAATATGTCTATTAATTTGGAGTTTGCTAGTAAATTTCCACTTCACTTTCTTATGTGAAACCCAGCTTCTTCGCCACAACCAATGATGAAAAAATATTTCCAAAAGATATTATTACCAAAAATGCTTTATTTATTTCTATTTGTATTACTTCCATAATTTTCTAAAAACTTTCATAGTTGGTATTGTCTTTCCATATATATCTGTCTTGCTCAGCAAACAATATTTTTCAATCTGTTTGCACAAGAGGATATGGATGTTGATCCTGGCTGTGTCTTCTCAAGCCCTAGTTTGGAAAAACTGATCCCCCTGAGTACCCACAATTCCTACTGATCTCTTCTTGATGAAGCAGCTCTTTCAAGCACCTTCCCTTTGACTGAGAGGATGGATGAAAAAAGTTGCTTGTGCTCCAGAGTCCCTTCATGCTGCTGCCAGGGCTCTGTAATGCCTGTCCATACCCTCAGACTGTTCCTAGCTGTACCAGAGATGCCCACCTGGAAACCAGCAGCAGATGCTGCCAGTGGGCAGTACCAGGCCTGGCAGTCTTTCAGTGATGTTCCTGGGCAACAGCACACCCTCGAGAGAACGTGTCAGGCCAGCAAACCAGGGCCTCCAGAAGTCATCTGCTGCTGTCACCCCCACTTCTCTGAGGAGCACTGCTGGGTGCTCAGGGGGCAGATGGAGCTGCCTCGCCCAGATCCAGCACCTCTCCTGATGTGACGAGGTCTTTCCTCCTCAGTCTGCAGAGCAGTGGAGCGTTCTGCAAGGGCACATGCCTAGGATGTCTTGTTTCTATTTTCAGCTTGTCTAAAAGTGCCTATAGACATAGTCAGGCATTTACTTGCAAAATAGCTATTGTGGTTCAAGCCACCTTGTGTCTGTCTGCTCAAAACACTCCCACTCAGCTGAGTTACTATGTGTACTATGCTAATCCATTTTGGTGCAAATATAAATCACTATTCTTTACTATGGATGCTTTGTGAACAAAAATCTGCTCCTTATGTCTTTTGACCCGTTATTTTATGTTACAGAATCTTGTTTTTGACATTCTGATTTTTGTACATCAAAATTTGTGTCAGACATTCAGATCTATTTCCTTGTCTCCAAAGATTTCAGTCTGAATTTTTTGCTTTGCAGTTTATAAACATCTATATGCTAAAATTTTGTTTACTACCCCAAATATGGTAACTGACAAGATAATGAAAACATTAAAAAAAGACATAACTACATTTTAGATGTAATTTCATGACTGCTGATTCCAAACACTTTAATGTTCATAAACCTACTTGCATACCAGTGCAGGGGAGTGAGAAAGTTTGCAGTATTTTGACATAATTTAGATTTTAAATCCAAATTGACACTTTTTAAATCCAAATATTTATTAAACACTCAACAATTGCTTATTTTAAAGCAGCAGTCCAAATCCAAGACTATTGCTACATAAACACTGAAACTGAGGAGGTAAGAGAATGATTAACAATTACATGTAGGCAGAGGTTGATTTTCATGTTCCAGATTGTTCACTGATTCAATTTTGGAGTTTCTATTACTAAACAAACCTGCTCATCAGATTCTCCTCATATATAAAATTTCATATTTATTTTGAAAAGGGAGATTCAAGTTCTGAGGTTTGTAATTTCCAATATTTTTCCAAAGAGACCCTTACCACCTTTCAGCTTTTCTCACTATTTACTATGCGCCTTGTCAAACCCATCACCAAAACTCCCATCAATTTTATATTGTTTTGGGGTCTCAGCAGGGCCAGTCCTTGCTGGAAAGACCTGGCCCCTGCAGGTTTTCTCTCTTTATATTCTTGTCCAAAACTTCTTCTCCTTTCTGCTACTGATTCTCTATGAAGAAATATGAATCTTCTGTCTGGTTGTTGGCATGTTCTGTCCTAATGAATTCATACTCCTGCTCTCTACTGTATTCTTCTAATCTGTTGAGAGGTCCAGAGAAAAAGGTGGCTTTGTTACAGCCTGTTTCAAAATACCTGTTTACTGTTATGGTTATCAGGAATTTAATTTTGTATTTTCTTGGATATCAGTCAGGACAATCCAGAAAACAGTTTTCAACCAGACATACGTAATAGAGGAGTTTATAATGTAGCCATAATATTTAGAAGAAAATACTTCTGCAATGCTTGAAAACAATACTATAGTGATGCTCAACAACATTCTCGAAGTTTCATTTTCTTTTATTGGGATTTGTTTTGAAAATTGGCCAATCCAAGGAACTTTTTGTTCTTACTTGAAGAGTTAGTATTTTGATTTCTTGCAAATTTTCCATACTGTACAGGAACTTTATAACTTATCTATCATATTATCTTTAAAGCAATATACTGGTAAACAGCAAATGTATGGAATGAAGTTCTTCCTTTCAGAATTTTCCTTCATACTACCTTTACATATTTTCCAGCCTCTACTATCATGCTTTACAACACTAATATGATCTTTTTGTATAATTTCTGCATCATTATTTCTGTTGCTTATCAGCTTTAAATTCAAGATGGCAATAGATGCTGATTGTATATAAGGTTGTAAGGACTAGTTTTAAAAAGTCACTCAGAAATATGTCTCTAAAAGCATTAACTTTGTAAACTATAAAATCTTAAGGAGAGTTTGATTATACCTTAAAGGAGAAATGTGACAAACTTGGATCCTCAGCAATACACCATATTATACTTTAAAGGGACTGTTGTACTTCACTTGCAAATCTCTGCGCAATTTTACATCAGACGGGATGATCAGGAACAATGACTCTCCCAAAATCATTTGGAGTATTATCAGTTCTGTAAGGTCATGGGACTTGCTGCAAATAACTGACCTGGCTGAACATGATGCCACCTCACATGTTTCTTACTGTGCAGAGACCAGAGGTTAACACTGCAAGTTTATGTGCCAACACAAACAAACATCTGAAGGTGCCATGACCTCAATCAGCCCCAGTCTGGAGGCTGTTTTAATTATTTGGCCAAGATGAAGATAACCTGTGCAGATTAAGTTTTGCCTGCTGTGTACTTTGGGCATTCATATTGCCCCTTGTGCCTTCTGAGCTTTGCTCTTGGCATATGTAAACATGGAAGGGAGTGAAATGTCTGGGTCTGATCTAACACACTGCAGTAAGAAAAAGCCTTGGAGCTAAAAGCTGGTTAATTCTGTTTGGGGATGTCCCAAGGAAATGATCAGAGGTAATGTGGGAGGTGTCTTAAAAACACAGAGCCCAGAGGCACCTAAGGAGGACTGGTGGCAGAGTCTGAGCAATAGTTTTTGTTTTGTTGGGGTTTTTTATGTGTACGTATAAAGGACAAATCATATATCTGTCTGTGGAAATCTGTAAAAGAATCACTTTAACATATGGAAAGAAATAGCTTAAATTAAGTGAGAATTTTAAGGGCAGCATGCAGTGGTCTCACCAAGATGGGCATACAAGTAGTGTATGGACAGAATTAAGGAGGTGAAACTTTTAACACCAAAATAGTGGGCAAACCAGGAATATTCTAAAGCACTGCCTTTAGACTTAGGATGTAAAAGTCTATGCTTATTAAAGAGGGATAAAAGCTGTTATCAACAAAAATCTTAATAGATTGGCATCTTCAAAAATAGGCCACATGACTGACAGTGAATTAAATGTGAAATGTCCATTTCCACAGTACCCTCTGCCTAACTGGCAGTTGTATGTATTTTTAAATACTGCTCATAGTGCCTTTTTTTGCAGTAAAAATATACAAAGGTTTCCTGCAGCTTGCTGATTGGCCTCCTTTTGTCTCTAAGCAGGGACTTTACTGAAGAAAAAACAAAAATAAACAAAAAAATCCCAAACAACCCCAGACAATGACATACCAAGGAAAATATTTAAAGTCTAAGGAGAGAGTACTCATGTCAGGTGCCAGAAACCAAAGGTAATGGTATGAAAAAGTCAAGAGAATTTCCCTAAAGATTTAGAGGGAAAACTGCACCAAAACAGACACAGAACAAGCTGTTACAGCACTCCAGAAGCCCAATAGCGAGGTAAAGCACTGCCATGCCAGGCACGCAGCGGGAAGCCTGGAGCTGCCAAGGCCGTGAGAGATGTCAGCGAGCAGCCCCATGCCAGGGCGCCAGGGAGGGTGAGCGCACCGGCACAGAGCGCCAGGGCAAAGGCCTGGAAACATGCAAATATGTCATGAAAGCCCCAGCAGGAAGAGAGGTCTGGCTGCCGGGCGTAATCCAGGAAAGGAACTGCTCCAGGGAAAGGGCGCGCAGGAGGCAGAGCGATGCTGTTCCCCGCAGGGATGCGCGGCCCCGGGGCACCCGCAGGGACGAGGTGGGAGCCAGGCGGGCCGGGGGCGGCGGGGGCCGGGGGCGGCGGGACCGGGGGCGGCGGGACCGGGTGGGCTGGAGGCGGCGGGGGCCGGGGCGGCGGGACCGGGCGGGCTGGAGGCGGCGGGGGCCGGGCCGCGGGCAGCACCGAGCCGGGCGGGGCGGAGCGAGCGCAGGGGCGGCGCAGCCGCAGCCGCGGCGGGCGGAGCGCGGAGCCTGTACGCGGCCCGGGCCCGCTCATTACTCAGCGGCCGAGGCCGGAGGCGGTGGTCGGTGAGCGGGGCCGGGGCCGCAGTCCCCGAGCGGCGGTGGGCGGAGGGAGCGCGGCGGCCGCGCGGTCCCGGGGCGGGCGGGCAGCGGCCGTGCGGCGGGGCCCGGGCCGGGCGGTTTTGTTTACGTTCCGGCGGGCGGGAAGGGAGCCGGGGCCGGGGCCGGCTGCGCCCTTGCCCGGGGGCGGGCGGCGGTGCGGGGCGCTCCGGCCCGGTGACCTTCCGTGGCTGCTCGGGGCCGGGGCTCGGGAGAGGTGCGGTGGATAATGGCGGGGGCCTCTTTGTTGGTGTGGCAGGAGGGGCAGGAGGCTCGGCGCGGGGCTCCTCCTCCTCCTCCTCCTCCCGGGAGCGGGGGCACCGGGCAGGCTGGGCCGGCCGCTCCGAATTCGGGAAAGAGCGTTACAGGGCGGGGTGGTGGGAATGCAGCCCTACCATGACCTTGTTCTTAAAAACGCCTCTTGAAGCAAAAAATACTTCTCTGAAATAATATAACTGATCTAGATGCACGGGCTGGGGGTGACCGGCAATGTCTTTTGTTTTTTTGCCTTTTAATTCTTAAATTTCTTTCAAAGAGGGGGAGCTGTCTCTTTGCAGAATTTCTTTTGCTTTTGATTTCTGTGTCGTTACATCCAGTTTTCCTTCCTGTTTCTTTATGCCTTTCTGCCTGGAGCAGTTCCATCAGTGAAGTTTGACCTGAGCTGCCTTAATAACCTACAAAAACAAATTCCACTTGATTATTTGTTCCACTCCCTAGCTACAGTAATGGTTTTGTACATACGGTGTTGTGTTGAATCTCGCTGTTGTACAGAACAGGCTTACTGAAGGCTTTCAGGCAATCGACAAATCCTACACGCTTTGGCCTATCTGATAATACAAACACAAAGGGTGTTATGCTTGTTCGGGGCTGGAAAGTATTACCTGCCCTAGGGCATGTGCATGTGGAATTGAGCAAGCCTACTCATTGCAGCTGGGTTTTACTTACAGGTGTGGAGACTTAAGCAGTGATGGTGTTGCAGGTCAGGTGAGACCTGGTCTCAGTTCTGGATGTGCCAACAAATGCACTTCCAGGGCAGAACAGTAACTGAGGTGCTTCAGTACATGTCTGCGGGTACATCCGTGTGTTAGATAACTTGGAAATGGTTTAAACTGTAACATGAAATGAATCTGGGCCAAACTTATTTAAGGGTGCTATCAAAGTGATTTCACTGACTTACTTGAGTGTTCCTTGTATATAATGAAGGGAAGCTCTTCATTCTTCTAATAGTAGCTAATAAAAATGTTGAATTTCAAATAGTCCCCTGCTTTGGTCTCTTGGCACAGCCGTCTTCCCTTTTTGCACCACTTGATTCAAAGATGTGTAATACAGGCTAGTGTGACAGTAGGATGCATAACATGGGATGCCAGGGCAGGGACCAGACACATTGCAGACCGTCTGCAGATCTTGATGGTCTTCAAGGCTAGCTGGGGAAAAGTGGGATAGGAGAAGAGAGAGAGAAGTATATGCTGAACAGAAACTAATTGCAGGGGATGTACTCTGAAACAAAGCATTTTAATGTCTTCCACTGCAAAAGTTTCCAAGGTTTTTGGACTACTGGCTTGCATAAGCTTTCAGTGTAATCTTGTGGGCTACCATATACTTCATGGAGGCTTCTAAATCTGAAATATTAGTAAGGTGATCTAAGAGGGTTCCAGGTCCTGCAGTTTTTGGACTGTGCATTCTAGGGAAAAAAAAAAATAGTTGCCTGTTGTGTGTGGATTTTGTGTTTTTACTTTTAACCCTGCTCTTTAAGGGCCAAGGCATTTGGTGGGTTATTAGGTGTGCAGGTATAACCTTCTTTGCAAATGCCTTAGGTAGAATTCATATGCAAATATTAAGGAATAAATGTTGTACGGTGCTAGCGATTTACTTTCTGCCTATTACTTACCTGAAATGGCTATTTACTATATATGTGTTTTGCTTTCTTTTTCATCATTCCTCAGCTGCCTAAATTATTTGGATGCTCACTGTTTAAAAGATGCATGGAAACTACACATTTAGCTCCTCATTTCTGAAGATTGATCCAGCATTCTGGACAAATAAATATGTCCGTCTTAATATCCCCTAAAAAGTATGGCGTGCTATTTCTTAACCTTCATTTTCCATGCTCCCAATCCCTCTCCTTGACAATAAAAGTGCCCTGTATGTAGAGAGTTTTACTGTATTTGTTATTTTTAATATATATAGTGTTCCACTTTTGAAATTAGACCAATCTTTTTGAGCCTGTATTTTGTTTAATAAAGGCTGTTTACTGCTGTAAATTGTTCCTTTAAGAAACCCCTTAGTCCTTAATTCAAAACCTGCAGAAACAAGCTTCTGTTTGTTATGGAAAGACCTCTTGGCATTTGAAAGCTCTTTAAAAATCCAGTTGAGCCTACTTATGTTGCTTGCCTGCTGTGAAATTCACCACAGTTTTGCCATGGATTCTGAAATACTTTTAAAGGTGTTCTTGTATGTGAAGAGATAACGATCTTGGTGTACCGAGCTTATAATTAATAGCTACACATTTCTCCTTAACTTTAAATTATTTTTTCTTTGAAGTTATTAAGGACTAATTCTTGATTCTTTTTCTGTTCCAAATTGATTCTGTTCAAGCTTGATGCTAAAATCGTTGCCCATATAGTCATTTTTGTTGTTGGATAAATGCTACTTGATATGTGAACAGATGGGATGCTTATTAATCATTCTTAGCTGAATATTGCAGACTAATGGTAAAATGAGGACTGACAGAAAAATCTACTTCAGCTCAATGGTCAGTTGTGTTGGTAACAAAGCAAATACTGTATACAAGCTCATTTGTGTGTACACTTAAACCAAAAGGGCACACATTGATTCTACAGTGCTACTGGACAGCCTGTTTGCTGTAATTATTGATTTTTGAGTATTAAAGAAAAGACAAGCACACAAACTGACAACCGTCCATTAATTTACTGATGCTATATTAAGAATTTGAGTTTTTAATATATATATTATATAGATAAATATAAAGTGTTCAGGAACCCAGTATTTATTCTTTGGACTATGAACTGTGGCTAAAGTGTCCCATCATTGTAGTCTGTATCCATTCAAACATTTACCTTTCTCCTTATCTGCTGAACAAAAGTTGAGATGTCTCAAGTCTGGTGTTTCGATCTTTGTGAAATAAGAATGATGAGCAGGGGGTATCCTGTTTCTCACTGGAATCTCAAAAGGGATGGCACTGTCCGTGTTTATAAAATTAAACTGATTCTTCAGCTGTTGGTTGCTGGCAGAAGAGGAGCTGGGGCTCCCTGTAGCCCTGAAGTGTAATTTGTGCCTGAGCAGCAGGTATGGGAGGAACTGTTCCCAGCTGTGACACTCCCTGCAGGGCTGCTGGGAGCACACACACCCCACTGTGGGGCAGACACACGGGGGAGTCCAGCCCTGCGTTCCACAGGTGGGTGGGGGCTCGTGTACCTGAGGATGCACAGAAGATTGGGTTTGCAACCTCAGGGATATCATGACTACTGCATTTTACCAGCTTTAAGCAGGAGGTTATAGAGGTGATGGAGCCACTTGCCCCTCTGAATGTATCAATAGCTGCAAGACATAAAAATGGAAGTTTGAGTAGGTTATGAAGGAGTGAATGTCATAAGTGTAGCAGTCAGCCCCTCCTAATGGATCAAGAGCCCAGAAGGGCAGTGAAGTCTTCATCCATACAGACTTTAGACTCAACAAGGTCCAGAGCAGTCTGAGGGGAATACAAATTTGAAGTTCTACTTGTTTTGTAGATGATCTGCAGAGGTTGCTTCCAAGCCATATTCTAATTCTACTGTTTATGGATTTTAAAACTTCTGTTTTCAAAGTAGCTTGAGGAAGTTGGCAAAACAAAGGCACAGTGATTTAGGTAAACCAGGTTGCTCACAACTATTAGAAGTTGTGAAGAGGAAAGTAATGAGATGTGATAAGAATCTTAGTTCAAGTCTGATGGTGGCAATACAGATTTTTTTGCCCTTCAGTGAACTTTCTAGCTGACTAGGCCAAAAGTGCTTTCAGGCTAGCATAAAGGCCAAAAAAAAAGGCTTATGGTACCTGTCAAGCCTGTGATCACTATGATGAACTTAGAAACCCATCTCCAACCAAAGAAACAGCAGGCAGTCAACAGCCTGGTAGCCAGCTCAAGTTAGTCTAGGTCTTGCTTTCTGTGTTGGAGGAACAAGTTGGCAGCTGCTGCTGCAGGGCTTTGATCTGCTGGGTGGGTGGTGGTTCCTTATGCTTAGCTGGAGTGTGGTTATCCCAGCAAGCAGCATCATGGAACAAACCAGCTCGGAGTTCCAGCTGGTCACAATAGCAGTCCATGACTGTAAAGGGCTGGCAGGACTAATGCTAGCTGGAAGAAAGGAAATGGGCCATGGTAGATCCATAGATCTCTCTTTAATGCATGTGCTGCCTTGAGAATATGTCCCTCATCTCAGTTGTTTCTCTTAAGTTCTTACATATTTATCAATCTAGCAAAACCAACCAGAGGTCTTAGTGAAAGTGAGGTGAGTACACACAGTTACAACCCAGAGTAAGTGTTTTGTATCTTAACAAAGCAGCTGTCCTGGTATGAACCTGTAGTATTTTAACATCTGAATGCAGCTGCTCATGTGTGACTCTTGAGAGAATTGTGTAGGAAGTCTGGTGTTAGGGATGGCACACATTTGAGAATCCTAGATGTATTCTTTAGTACCTTTAACACCTAAGATGATGTTGGAGTAAGTACGAGTCACAATGCTTACTTGCTGTACCATGTAAAAATACATAGTTTTGAAGATGTAATCCTAATCTTAAATTTTACTATGGAAACAGTAAAAGTGAATGCCATGGCTGACATGCCAGCCAGCATAAATCTTGGTAAATTCTGGATTGTTCATTGTGTTTTGGATGGTGACAAACATCCTGGTCATCTTCACAGAAGGAAGAGTAATAACATGATAACCTAAAAAGGTTTATTAGAAAGGTGTGGG